GTGTGTGTGTGTGTGTGTGTGTGTGTGTGTGTGTGTGTGTGTGTGTGTGTGTGTGTGTGTGTTCCAGGAAGATGAGTCACCCGTGAAGAGTTCTGTGTCATCGCTTCGTTACAGCAGTGTGTATGCGTTAAAGAGGCGTCACGCTAGTGTCTCTAACACGTGTTCCATGCCTCACACCTCTTACAACAACCCCAACTTGTATAAACACGTAGCCGATGTAATCACCACAGGATATAACACCTAAGAGTTCATCATGGTACATGCAGGTGTTCTACCTACTGCCATTAACCAGTGATGACGTTGGTACACAAGTCAAGGCCTGCTGGCTAAAAATGGTCTGCGTTAGGTAATGGTTTCTGAACACTTGTTGGAGAGCGTGGCTAGTGTGTGTTAGGGTAGGAAGGTGTGGCGACCAGGGAGGCCGGGGGCTGGCGACCAGGGAGGCCGGGGGCTGGCGACCAGGGAGGCCGGGGGCTGGCGACCAGGGAGGCCGGGGGCTGGCGACCAGGGAGGCCGGGGGCTGGCGACCAGGGAGGCCGGGGGCTGGCGACCAGGGAGGCCGGGGGCTGGCGACCAGGGAGGCCGGGGGCTGGCGACCAGGGAGGCCGGGGGCTGGCGACCAGGGAGGCCGGAGCCGGTCTACTACTCCCGGGGCTCAGACTACCAGAGATAAACAATGGGTGATGCTGGCATCTTCAGAACGGTTCTTCTCCAAGAACAAAGGGGGGAGAGGAGGAACACCGGCTCGTCCACCATCCCACCTATTATCAACACGGTCACTAACCCCCCTTACAACCAACCCCCATTACAACCAACCACCATTACAACCAACCCTCCATTACAACCAACCCCCATTACAACCATTCCCGTCACCCGCATAACCACCTTCCATATTAACAACAGCCGCCATTACTATCTCCATAACCACACCTGTGTTTGTCACCACCCTCAACACTGCCAATGGCATAGTGGGGACATGACATTTATCTCTGAGCCTGGCCATGGTGGACATGACAACAACATGAAAGATACAACGGCTGTGGAAAACAAATGACTACGGTCTCAAGATATTTACCGGCGTATACCGGTAAATACCGTAGTCATATACGGTATAAATACTCTTATACAACGATATATCGTATAGTATGTTTTATTTGACATTAAAAATTGACTTTCAGGCGGTTGTGAAGGGGGAAGTGTATGATTGTGTGGTTGTAAATACAGTTAGCTGTATTGTAACTATAGTTACTTAGCAGCCTAGTCTCCGGCTCATACTAGAGGCTCTCCTCTCTAGTACTACATAGCATTTTGATAGGTTATCTTGAGGTTATCTTGAGATGATTTCGGGGCTTTAGTGTCTCCGCGGTCCGGTCCTCGACCAGGCCTCCACCCCCAGGAAGCAGCCCGTGACAGCTGACTAACTCCCAAGTACCTATTTACTGCTAGGTAACAGGAACATTTCAGGGTGAAAGAAACTTTGCCCATTTGTTTCGGCCTGGTGCGGGAATCGAACCCGCGCCACAGAATTACGAGTCCTGCATGCTATCCACCAGAGGCTACCAGGCCCCCTGTTGTGTACTCACCTAGTTGTGTTTGCGGGGCTTGAGCTCTGGCTCTTTGGTCCAGGTCAGGTTTTTTTTTTTGTGTGTGTGTGTGTGTGTGTGTGTGTGTGTGTGTGTGTGTGTGTGTGTGTGTGTGTGTGTGTGTGTGTGTGTGTGTCTGTGTGTCTGTGTGTGTGTGTGTGTGTGTGTGTGTGTGTGTAGGGGGGACTGGTCCAGTCCACTTGTATTGATCTGCGGTTTATGGGGGAAAATGTTGTCCCTTTATGATGCTTCTCCTCCTCCGCTCTCCCGCTACGAATATTTAAACTTGGGAGATTTATACCGGTGATAAAGTTGTCGTAGGAGTTGATAAATGCCGGCGATGGGATATTTGGCGCCTCTGGTTGCTGCTGTACGATAATGTGTACACACATACACACACATTATCTCTTGTGCTTCGCCGTCGTCTCTTGCTTCATCTCTTGTTGTACTGTACACACATACACACATTATCTCTTGTGCTTCGCCGTCGTCTCTTGCTTCATCTCTTGTTGTACTGTACACACATACACACATTATCTCTTGTGCTTCGCCGTCGTCTCTTGCTTCATCTCTTGTTGTACCGGGTGTTTGATTTTGTTCCTTCACACACAGAATGGGCAGAATTTCTTTCACCCTAATGCCCCGGTTACCTTGCAGTAAATAGGTACCTGGTAGTTACAGCTGTTACGGACTGCTTCCTGGGTGTGTGTGTGTGGGGGGGGGGGGGGGTGGTTAGTAGCTAGTAAGAGTAGATTGACAGTTGAGAGGCGGGACTAAAGAGCTAAAAAGTTTATCGCATTGAGCTTCGTCTCGTAACCGATCATATGATACCTTTAAGCCGGTTGCTGCCTGCTTGATGGGGGTCTGGGAGTTGAAGCCCGACCCTAGACCACGCTTGACTTGTGAGTTTGACTTGGGACAAACTGCTGCTGCTGGAGCTTGTGGATCAGCCTGGCTGTGATGGCTGTGTGGGCCCTGAAGACACAGCTCCCACAGACCAGGCTGGGCACACGCCAGACACAACAATGTTGAACCGGAAATCTTCAACAGTTAAACAAGAGGCTACAACCAGTCAAGTAAGACTTATCCTTCCACATTCTCGCGTTTAGAGACCAGAAACCTCATAGTGGGACCAGAAACCTTTTTATAGGTTCGGGAACCTTTTTATAGGTTCAGGAACCTTTTTATAGGTTCAGGAACCTTTTTATAGGTTCAGGAACCTTTTTATACGTTCAGGAACCTTTTTATAGGTTTAGGAACCTTTGTATAGGTTCAGGAACCTTTGTATAGGTTTAGGAACCTTTGTATAGGTTCAGAAACCTTTGTATAGGTTCAGAAACCTTTGTATAGGTTCAGAAACCTTTTTATAGGTTCAGGAACCTTTGTATAGGTTCAGGAACCTTTTTATAGGTCCAGAAACCTTCTTCTCCTCGTAGAAGAGCCCAAATGCAGCAGCTGGTGCGGGGGTTACGGGGCAGATGATATAGATTGTTGTTGCTGTTTGAGATTAGCTACTTGGAACAAAAAGTTCCAAGTAGCACGGGCTATGGTGAGCCCGTTGTGGACTTACCTGGCACAGCAGCGGGGCTGTGGATGATATGATATAGACAACGGCTACGATGATGTCGCGACCCCAGCCGCAGACACCCATCAGGACAAACTGTGTCACGGGGGAAATCTGTGACATATCTTGAGACATGGCAACCAGGAGGCCTGGTCGACGACCGGGCCGCGGGGACGCTAAGCCCCGGAAGCACCTCAAGGTAACCTCAAGGTATGGCTGTACCAGACCAACAGATAACGTAGCCGCGGAGAACGCTACAGTGATCTCGATATAATCTTCAATTATGCTCAAGGATATTGTACATTCCGGCGCTTCAGATTCAATCCACGAATTCAGTGAAGGCGATGTATGGTATAGAATGCTTTGCAAGACTAAACGTAGACGTTTAAAAGGAGTATAAGGCAACAAATACCAAATGCCGCGTGACCACCGTTTCATGCCCGAAACGCTTTGCGTAATAGTGGCTTTAGGCATTGTATGTACTAGCTCTACCTATAAGTCAACCAATCCTTGTAAAAATTTATTGTATGTATGTACCTTACCTAAATAAAATTGTATTGTATTGATACACCAAGTGTGTCAGCGTCGCCAGCGTCGACAAGGGCGCCATCGTCGGACGCGTAGGGAGAGGGAGTATAAAGTTGTCGTTATTATTATTATTATTTTGTTTTTAAGCTTTTTTTATGTGAATGCTTTGTAAATTTCCACATTTGTAGGCCACCCTGTTTCCCCGGGGCATCTTAAGAATTGTATTTGTTTTGTAGTGTAGTTAATTTATATTTTTGACCAGATCAGGAGAGCACATTTAGTTATCTTTGTCTAGATATCACTGTAGAGCCGTGGCGCGCATGTTGTTATACCTTAGTCGTCCCTTCCTTACAAGTCCCCCCCCCCTTCCTTGCTCTTGTCCTCCTCCTCCTCCTCCGAGACCCTTCCATCTGCTCTTTCCGTTCCAGAGGAAAGGAAAGGGCCATATGTGTGTATGTTGTGGCAGGTCTGGGGTGTGTGCGCGCGGGGCAGCATGGGGCGAAGGGTTCGTGACCACCAGCACACACCCTGCATTAGCGCTCTCTCTCACCGCCGACCTCTGCCTCCCCTCACTATCCACTCCTATTCCCAACCTACCGTCCAAGGTGCATCTCTGTCTGTTGTGGCACACCTCACCTACCCACTGATACCCCAGGCCTAACCACTGATACTACCCACTGTTGTAATTGTTGCCTTATAATTTCACTATTCTGGCGTTCGGACTCCTCGAATTTTAAAGTTGAGGATGGCGGTGGCTTCCAGAACTTCTTTGTGTGCATTCCACTTATTGACAACCTGTATGTATGTACAGAGTACTAGTATTTCTTTATCTTTCTTAGACTCGATTGCGTTTCTAGCTTCCACTTATGTTTCAACATTCTTTCACTTTACAGAAGCTGTCCCTGTATATCTTGCCAGTTCTCCCCAGTATCTTTTATGTTGTGATTATGTCCCTTCTGAGGACATGTTCTTCTTTCATGTAAGGTTGTGAGGTCTAGTGCCTTTAACCTGATCTTCATTGGTTAGGCCTCTGAAATCGGACACGAATCTTATTGCAAACGTTTGTATATTTTACATTTTGGTTTTATGCTTCACAAGGCCCGGAATCCTAGCAGGAATGAAGCAGGAAAGGCGCTGCAGCTTATGAAACACAAGACGAAACAAAGTACAAAACACACACGGAAAAACTCTTGTTGGTCCGCAAAATTTTCAAGGCATGATTGAGTCAGTTTTTATCTGCATTCAGTGTGATGTTTGTGCGCATTAGCGGGAGAACAATGGTGGTACTCGGGTGCTAGGCTGTGGTGCTCCTGTCTTGTTTTGTGCTACTGCTGCTGGCGGTGGTCTGCGGCTGCTGGCGGTGGTCTGCTGCTGCTGGCGGTGGTCTGCGGCTGCTGGCGGTGGTCTGCGGCTGCTGGCGGTGGTCTGCGGCTGCTGGCGGTGGTCTGCGGCTGCTGGCGGTGGTCTGCGGCTGCTGGCGGTGGTCTGCGGCTGCTGGCGGTGGTCTGCTGCTGCTGGCGGTGGTCTGCTGCTGCTGGCGGTGGTCTGCGGCTGCTGGCGGTGGTCTGCGGCTGCTGGCGGTGGTCTGCGGCTGCTGGCGGTGGTCTGCGGCTGCTGGCGGTGGTCTGCGGCTGCTGGCGGTGGTCTGCGGCTGCTGGCGGTGGTCTGCGGCTGCTAGTCTGTTGTTGCTGCATGATGGACCGCACCAAATCTAATCAGTTCTACTCGTCTTGTATATGATCCTCTGTCCTGTGTGGTAGTTAATACTAGCATCATCACTCTAATAAGACTTAATTGAACTCACAATATGCAAAATTGTAATTAATTTTGTCAATAAAGATGCCAATAATTAAACGTTCTGCCCTACACAATGCTCTAGCCTGTCAAAGGTGAAGTTAAATTCACTCAAGTTGTCCCAAGTTGACGTTTTCGCCATTTTCTGTGTTTCTTTGTTGCAGTGGTTGATTGTCAAGAGTGATGATGATAACCGTTGTGGGCAGCGATGACTGGTTGATAACAGATGGGCGTATTCTGCATTTTTGTGTGCGTGTGTTGAATATGTAAATAAGATGGCGGTGGGGGGAAGATGGTATCTCTGGGTGCAGATATCGGCGGATAATTGAGCTGCAGTAGTTGTTGATGAGGCTGTGGCAGGCGGGCTAGGCTCCCGGTGGCTGTGGCAGGCGGCTAGGCTCCCGGTGGCTGTGGCAGGCGGGCTAGGCTCCCGGTGGCTGTGGCAGGCGGGCTAGGCTCCCGGTGGCTGTGGCAGGCGGGCTAGGCTCCCGGTGGCTGTGGCAGGCGGGCTAGGCTCCCGGTGGCTGTGGCAGGCGGGCTAGGCTCCCGGTGGCTGTGGCAGGCGGGCTAGGCTCCCGGTGGCTGTGGCAGGCGGGCTAGGCTCCCGGTGGCTGTGGCAGGCGGGCTAGGCTCCCGGTGGCTGTGGCCATGAATGATGATGATAATGATGCAGCAGCCATTAGTGAGGGCTGATGAAGTACATGTGATGAAGTAGGAGATGGAGACTGGGGTGGTGTGTGCCGCTGGTATTACCTGTGTAGGGGGGTAGAAATAGCCTAAGCTACTCTGTTCCTTTTAAGATGTATTTCTTTCTTGTCTCAATAAACATACTTGAACTTGATTACATGTGTCCGGCCCGTGGCTTTATTTCCTGTTAAAAGTACATTAAATTCATTTAGAATTAGAGCTGTTAAAAACTTTTAAAAGTCTTTAAGAAACTGAACTGCTGCATCTGCCAGTGATATAGTCTAATTTTGTTGGTAGTTTCTGGTTGAGTGTGGCAGTTAGAGATGGCCTTGCTGGGTAGGTGAGCACAAAAACCGGACATCTCTGTTAGCAGCAGTTTAAAAGGTGTGTGTGTTTGGGGGGGGGGGAGAAATGATATAACCTTGCACGCTCGCAGGAACAGCACAAGGTGCAGGCTGTCTTCACCGCCCTCTCTCTGATAAACATTTTAGTTTTCTATATAAACCAGTTGAAGAGGGTTTTGCCTGAGAAAGTGTGTGTGTTCCCTAAGGTTAGTGACTGGGAGTAGATCAGCATAACGGCGATGAGAATTAAGAATGGAAAGATTGAGAACGCAAGAATATTGAGGGTGTGGGTGCAGTGTGAGGGAGGAATGGTTGTGTAAGGCCACCAAGTAATTTTACCGCTGTATCATGGCGCCTCGCGCAGGAAAGGGAAATTATAATTACATTGGAGGGGACCGGACAGAAAACTGGAATTCGCAAGTATAATCAATGATAAGTAGAGTGAGAACGTTATAATATATAATATATAATTGAGAGAGAGAGAGAGAGTGAGGGGGTAGAGAGAAGAATAAGAAAATGTAACCGATAATGGTGTGAGGGGAAACTACTATATTCTCATTACTAAGACACCTCTCTCTCACTATTCAAGCTGCTGCTAGGGCACACACTTCCCTCCTCCCTTGTGTGACTGAACAGGCTTGTACATAAAACTCTGGATCAATAAACTGTTGCTATTCACAGGCAGCAGCAGCAGCAGCAGCAGCAGGTGGGGAGGTCGCAGGAGGAGGAGCGAGGTCTCATTAGGAGTTGGATGCTCCCATGCTCTTAGCTCTTATTGATTGGCGGCAGTCCTTCTCTCCCTCCCTCCCTCTCTTTCTCTCTCCAGTGTCTCATGCTGGTGGTGGTGGTGGTGTTGTTGTTGGGGAGAGGGAGGGGGGCTCATTGTTTTTGTTGCATTGTCTGGGGGGGATGTGGAGGGGGGTGAGTTTTTGTCTGGGGCTTCTCATAATTCGCGCCATTCTCTTATTTTCTATATCAGCGTTTTCTCCCTCTTCTTAATTTCTGCTGTTTATATTGCCTGCAGTTTTTAGTAAAGCTTTATGCAACGGTGGCTTGTTGAGACCTTCCTGTCCTTTCTCCCTCTCTCACGTGTTCTCTGAGGATAGCCTCATAATCCACCAAAAGCTTACCAGTGTGCTGAGTTAACTCATTAATCTATAACAATCTGTCCTGTGAGATAACGATTTTAGCATCAGACAGCTCGACACAAACTCTGTAACTCATCACTATAGTCTGTGGCAGCTCTGTGCCTGGGTTTGGTTCAGCGTGAGTGAGAAATATTCGTCCTGGCAAGTGTGAGAGAGTAATATTCGTCCTGGTAAGTGTGAGAGAGTAATATTAGTCCTGGTAAGTGTGAGAGAGTAATATTCGTCCTGGTAAGTGTGAGAGAGTAATATTCGTCCTGGCAAGTGTGAGTGAGAAATATTCGTCCTGGCAAGTGAGTGAGAAATATTCGTCCTGGCAAGTGTGAGTGAGAAATATTGGTCCAGTAGCGTTTGCACTGGAATACAGTATCTATTCTCAGTCGTTTTAGGCTTCCGGCGAATATGCATGTTTAGTATATTTTTGAAATGTTACCATTAAGTAAATTGTTTACATTTTGGAAGTGTTGCCAACACAACTGAAGCAGGCGAGCTGCAGGGAGCATGATAATAAAATGTGTGACTAATTCCATTATGCTTATGTCATATTGTTTATAATCAAACAAGTGTTCATGTAAATGTTTTTTTTTCTATAAAATTTACATTATTCAATATTTTCAACATTTGGTTGTTATGCATGTTGGTGTGGTGAAATTGTAGCCTACACTGAAATTGAGACGAGTGACGCTAGCTTCACTGGTGACACGGGCTAGTTACCAGTGTACCGGGGCAGTTACCAGTGTGTCTGGTGCCAGTTACCAGTGTGTGTCTGGTGACACGGGGACAGTTACCCCAGTGTCTGGTGACACGGGACAGTGGTAGGTGGTCCGCCTGGTGAGCACCAGAGAGGAAAGTACCGGTGTGACTGGTTTTAGTGCGTGACGCAGGCTCTGGCGAACAGGTAGAGAACAAGTTCGTGTAACTGAGCGTCCCTGAATGCACACACACACACACACACACACACATGTTTGATCAACAAGGAAGGCAGGAGTGGAGCGGCGTTAACACATGGGTGTGTGCATCATAGGGCCGCCAGGGTGAGTCATGGTGCACCCATTAAGGTATTGTTGGGAGGGAGCAGTACGCTCCGAGGCCGCCTTTGTCTTCCCATCTTCTCTTATTGTTGTGGCACGGCTATATACACCCATGTGTATTTTAGGCTTTCTCCAGCTTTATTATTCTCACACTGACTTTACTGTTAAAAGTTTCGCTGTCAAGCAGATTTTTGCAGGTTCTTAAATGCATGGGAGACACTATTCAGTGGAGTAATAGCAGATTAGCATGTGACAGTGTTAGGTAATTAGTGTGCTTCTGCTAGTCGTGTGTGTCTGCTCATTTGTGAGCTCTCTTCGTCTTAAAAGACCTCTACGGCGATTCTCATCTAGTAATACTCATCTTTGCTGGTTATAACGTCATAAGTGTGTTCCAAAATTAGCCTAGTCAACCCATGACTTGAATTAACAACAAATAAATATAAATGCAAATCCGAATGCAGCCGTAATGAAGCATATTAATGGCTTAATTTATGTATTGTATCTTTTGACATGCAATTTCATGCATAGGCGCAGCATTAAAACATGTGGCAATTGCAGACTCAACTGCTTGCATCCATACGGAGCAACTGAGCGTGTGGTTTTTCCGGTTACAGCCGTCGACACTGTAGCAGTGAGAGGGGGGAGGGGGGGAGCGTGCCTGCAGCACAGTCTGACGAAGTTGTTGTCGCAACCATAACTGGAGTGAGGTGGGGGAGAGAGGTGTTGTGTTGGGGGTGAGGGAGACGTGTGAGTGAGGCAGGTGGTGGTGGTGGTGGTGGGTATTAGCATAGCCAGGCCGTTAACATGATCATTACCGCTGCTTCAAGTCGCCCACCTCTCATCCTTGCTGCAAAATTTCATTTTAGAATGGGGGAGGGTAGGAATATCTGTACTGTCTAATGGGAGAGGAACAGTAAACTGTTACTTGTGTTGGCTAATAGAGGACAGCAGAAATTACTAAATTTCTAAATAGACGGCAAAATTGACATCAGAATGTTGGTGGAAACTAGTTCAGACGGAAGTTGAAAGGTTACGGAGACGGCTAGATTGACCGGACTGCACAGGCTTCAACTCGTCATGTAATTCTACGTTATAACTTCCCTGCAACCGGAAAAGCCTAAGAGATGAATTCACAGAATATTCAGCTTCATGATAGGAAATGTCTTGATGTGAGACTAGACATTGTCAAGTCCTACGTGAGTAGTAAAGCTGATGAGTACCATGTATAATGCAGTCAACCATGGGTTGCGTGTGGGGCTGAAACAGTTGTGCTTCACAAGTTACAACACCACTGTGGGTCTGGGGGAAGGCAACTATCAGGAGAAGCGCCAAGCCATTACGACTATATAGCACTCGGAAGGGATAAGGATTATTGGGGGAAGGAAGGGAAGAAATTATGCCCAACCACTTGGACGGTCGGGGATTGAACGCTGACCTGCATGATGCGAGATCGTCGCTCTACCCTGGTTGAGCTGGACGGGAACGACACATATCCTACGACATGACTGTAGTGCATATTTGCTGTTCTACAATGTGAAAAAAATGAAAAAAACTTTAAGACAATGAATGTGTTGTGACCACTGCGGGCGCTAGGCTCCTTGGTGGGGTGCAAGGTATCTCTCTCTCTACTTACTAAAATGTGAAAAAATAATGTTTTATATGCAGTACTTTAATATTATTTTGGTCGTGATAA